GGTGCTCAATAAACGCTCACCAAATAAGAGAGAGAGAGTCTTGGGATCTTGGAATCTGGCATGTGGCACTCCTGAGATCCGGCCCCAGCATGGTGTCCTGAGAGGGAGATTCTTGTAGGCATTTCCTTCCTCCTGTCTGTGGGCGCACAGTTACCTGAGAGGACCAGGGCAGGGGTGGTGAGGTCAAGTGTGTGCCTATAGCATTGGCAGAGGAAAGATGCTGCTAAACTGTCTGCAGCTTGATTCACCACGTGACCCACTGAGTAAAATTATACCCGGGCTTGGTACTGGGGGAGGCAGAGTGGTGTGCAGAAGAGCAGTGGACAGGGGCCTGGGGAGCTGAGTTCTGGCCCTGGCTTTGCACCCCTTACCAGCCCTGTGTACCCATGCTCACCGCTCCTCATCGGTCGTCCTGAGCCTCCCTGCCCCTCTGCAGACCTGAGGCCACTGCTGTTGCTGAGGCCTCTATCCCACAACTATTTGGGGGCTTGCCTAACCTCCAGGCCTTTGCACATGCTGTTCCCTCCGCCTGGAGCACCCTCCCCCTGCTCCTCCACTATTGATTGAAAGAACAAACGGTTGAATGTCCTTCCTTGGACACATCACTTCTCTGGCCCACGCCTCGGTTTCCTGTCTTTTAAATACAGGATGTGGACTAGTGGATTCCTCTAGGGACACATGAGACCTCAAATGAGTGGATTTAGGGTTTCTCCTGCTCCTAGGAATTGATGGGAGTGTGGCAGCGACTGCACGCATATTTGTTTAATGATTATCTGCCGTTGACACAACAATATGAACAAAGTGAGGAATTTTTCTGGGCACTCAGCACAACATTCCCAGTGCATGGATTCCAGTGTCTTTGAAAAGGCAGCACTGAGGCAGCCTCCGTGGAGCTATTCTAACTGCAGTAGGGCCAACCCTTCCCCACCTGTCTCTCTGCAGGAATTCTTCCCGTGCCTGTGGAGGCAAGAATGCATGCGCCCAGGGCCCAACACTTAATGTGCACCTGCCCACAGAACTCTCTCTGTGTTTCCATGTCTGTCCAGAGCTCCTCTCAGTGGTGCAGACAGCAGGTGCTGCTGGGACTCATCCCCAACTTTCTACGTTCCAGGATGGCACCAGATTTCAAGTGCCACCTTTGCAGTCTCCCAGCTGTGCGGATTTGCACCTCTGAGCCTCAGTTTCCTTAGCTGCAAAACAGAGATAGTAATGCCCACCTCATGGGAATGGCAGGTGGACCCAAATACGTGGTGCAGTGCATGGCAGGGGGTGGGGCACATGATACGGGGGTGCTGTTCTTCTTAGCATGAGTATTCCTTGCTCTAGAGATCAGAGCAAACAGAGATCAGCGGTCTGTTTGTTGAAACCAAAAAAATGTCTGTTGTCTGAAGAATTCTGTTTTGAAAGATAAGCCCCGGTTTTGGGTCAGAACCTCATTCCCTCAGGAATGTCACGGTTGAGCACCAGGCCAGGCTTGGTGACCACCCAAGCCTTTGAGCCTTCCACGTGGATGCTCCCAGGTCAGGCTTTTCGGGAATCTCTCGCACAGCTGGGCTGCTTGTCACGTTTCAGTAGCATCGTTTCCACAGAGCAGGCTCTGTCTGGCATTGAATAGATGTTTTTGTCTCTTCCTTGGATGCCTGAATGTCAGTCTCCCTCCTGCGGTCCCAGAGGCCAACCTGAGTGTAAAACTCCAAAATGGACGTCAGAGTGGGGCCGTCCATTCCTGCTCAGGCTCACGGCTCCCAGCGAGTCTCAAAGAGGCGGGTCAATGGCTGCTGTGACCTGGGAGTCTCCCAAGGGTCTCCTGGGTTGTGGTTATAAAGGCTGCTGAGCTAGAAATCAGAGTTCACGGAAAAAGCGGCAAGTTGGACCAGCAGCCGAGTTGAGGAGGATGGTTCAGTGTCTCCAGAAACGGGCCTGCTGGCATCCACAGCACAGATGCAAAGCCCCTGAAAGCAGGGAGGGGACGAGGGGCCAGGCATGTGCTGCTGCAGGCTGGAGGGCCTGTGGCTCAGCGGTTAGGAGCGCAGGCCTGGAACCTCACTACCTGGCTTCAAATCCCAGTTCTTCCACCTCTTCTGGACTTTGTGCCTGACCTTTTCCTGCCTCTTTCCCCACTTCTGGAAAAGGGAGAGAATAATGTACTAGGAGGGAAAGTAGGTTAATATCTCATAAGTGTATTAGAACAAAGCTTGATGCGTAGTAAATTTTTAAGAGGGTAAATTGAGGCCCAGAGAGGGCAAAGGGCTCATCTGTGATCACCCAGCAAGTCACTGGGGGCCGCCAGGCTGAAACTCATGATTTCCAGCCTCGTGGCCACTTCCCTCCTCCCGCTTCCCCCTCAGTCAGACTTTTTCAACCCTGCTTTCTGCAGAGGAAATCGCGTGACCCTTCAGCCAGCAAGAATTCAGACTGCACAGAATTTCAGAAACCTCTTTGGGCTGGCTGGGGGCCTTGTTGCAATTCTATTCAGCTGCTAGTTCTTTTTTTCTCCATTTTTTTCTTCTAAGGCCCTAGAGGGTCTCTCCTTTCCTGTCTCCCCAAAATAGAAAAATTAACCTTTTGTTAAAGGAATTTGAAGACTTAGGTGTCTGCTGTGTGTCCGTGGACCACCTCCCTTCATTTCTGGGCCTCAGTTTCCCCATCTGTGAAATGAGGTTACCCCCCCTTGACAGGTGGACGGTCCCCACGTGCCAGCCTGGCATTGCTTCGGGGAGAAGCGAGCTGAGAGGTGCCACCCTGAACGCAGGGCCATGTGGACTGTTGGGTTAGTGCTGACTAAACAGAGGGTGACGCATCCTTCTAGGAAGTGAGGTGAAACGCACCAGAAATGCTGCCCACTTCCGCCTGCCTCCTAGTTTCAAAGGTTATGTGAGTCATCAGAGCTGCCTGCACGTCTTCCCTTTCTCAGCGTAACACTCCTCAGCCCCACCGGGCTGAGACCAGGGTGGCTAGGAGCATCCCATCCGCAGGCCTCCCAGGCGTCAGAACTGAGTTTTCTGATATCTGCTGGGCACCGCAGCCACCAGCTCTGGAAGCTGCTAGCCTGGGTATGAATCCTGGCTCCCAGGCTGTTGACAACAGCCCTCTCTGAACTTCGGTCTCATCTGTGAAATGGGTAGATGAGCCCTGCCAGCAGGGTGAGATGGCAAAGCTCAAAATAGGAGTTCTGCTCCAACTCAGTGCCCTCTTCCTTCCTGCCTGCGAGGCCCTTGCTCACCTGGGCTCCGGCTGGGACACAGTATATATTGATATGCCCGAGTCCTCCCGGGCTGTAGGGGACAGAGGGACACTTGGCGAAGCCAGGGAGCCTGGAGATAGACCCTCACCCATCAGGGCCAACAGCATCCTGAGTGCAGCCCTCGCAGCCTTTTTTATGGGGAGCCAAGGGCCCAGGAGGGGAAGGGCCTAGAGGAGGGAGACCCTGGAGCCAAGACTAGAACTCAGGATCCTAGACCAGGAGTCTCCTTGCCCCCGGGGACTCCTGTCTTCTGTTTGTGGGTTCACTTTCAGGTCAACCTGGCACCATTAAGGGGGCCAACCTGGCTAGACCTGGGAATTCATAGATGGGTACCATGGTGGGCCTGGAGTGGACTCAGGGCTGAGCCCCACCTTGCTACCCCCTGGCAAAGGCCTTGGGCAAGTCATGCCTACCCCTGAGCCCCATTTCCTCATCTCAAAAATGGACATATTTCCTGCTCTGCCCACCTCTCAAAGTTGTCATGAGGCTTCACAGGATGGTGTAGGTAAAAATCCCTCTGCAGATGATCAAGAACTGGGGACTTTTCAGATGTGAAGAATTTGATATTTGTCATCTCCTGGGTGCATTTCTGTATCCCTGTCGCTCAGACAGTGCCTGGTACAGAGTAAGTGCTCATTAAGTGTTGGATGAATGAATGACAATAGTTATTATTTAGGGAGCATTTCAGATCTTGTTCCCCAACATATGTCATCAGTTTGGCTCAAATGAACTCATATAAAAGTGGTTTTTTTTAATAGTTATCATCTAGTAAGCACCTCTTATATACCAAGCATCACCTAGGGAACGTTCCCATAAAAGGGTTACCCTCAACAGCCCCAGCAGGTTAGGTATGTCCCCATTTTATAGATAAGAAAGTCGAGGCTCAGAAAGCACAATAGCTTCCCTAAGGCCACACAGCAAGTGATTGAGGAAGTCAGAGTTCACCCCTGACTCTGCCCATGCACCCTTCCAGGTACTCAGATGCCCCCCCCAGGTCACCTCTCCCTGGGGGGGTGCTGGTAAATGTTTAACAAACAGCTCCCAGGCAGAGGGGCGGGCAAGGAGTTACAGAGGATTTGTACAAAGCCCTCATCTGTAGCATTTGCCAACTCCCATGGTGTAAATATCCCTACCGGGCCTGATTTCAGGCATACAACGTGAAAACTGTCTCACAGAATCCTTGAGAATTTAGTGTCAGCCATCGTGAGCCAGTAGCAGTGGCTCCAATGTACCTGTGCACCCTCTCCCCACCCCCGCTTCACACAGTCCCTTGCACACCCAAGGAAGGCCAGAGTTAGCAGTGTGCCCTGGCCCAGGACAGCAGACTGGAACCGAGCAAATGGCCTGGGTGGGGAGATCTGTGCTTCTAGACCACCACCCCCCAGGCCCTTTTCCACCAGAGCCCCTGGGGCTCCCTGGGGTTTCGGTACCACACAAAGACTTGGGCAGGATGGATGAGACCCGAAGATGGATCTGCAAACCCTCGGCTGGAATATTAAGGCCTGCCGGCTCCGCCGTGTGCGGTATTCCTGCCAGGCCCAGAGCACAGCCCTGTAAACGCTGGGATATAATGGACAATAAAAGTTGCCGGAAAATAGTGGGTCTCTTAGGACCACTGTCATCCCTGCCACACGCTGCCTGCCGGAAACACGAGCCCTGTGATCATGAGGCACGATCGTCATGTAAATATATAGGATCTCTCACCAGCCGCGGGCCAAGATTTATTTTATGGAGACAGTGGGGGAAGGGGAAGGCAGCTCAGGTTCATCGTCCCGGTAACTTTGTGAAATGCTTTGCCGTCACATCCCAGCTTCTGGGAGAATGCAGTAGGAGCCAGCGTGTCCTCTGCCAAAAAGGGTGAGTGAGTGTGTGTGTGTGTGTGTGTGTGTGCAGGGGGTGGGCATCCTCAGAGGATGGACACCTCCTGTCACATCCACAGGCCTGAGGGCCTGGTTGGCCACAAGACTGGGGTCCCCTGGAGAATGAGGACCAGCTTTATTGTGACAATTGATTTGCCAAGCGGGTTGCTAGAAATGTTTGTTGCAGGGATATGGCTGTTGAATGAGCCCTGGTTTTTTTTATGATGATTATGGTAATCATAATAGCAGCAGCAGCCACATTTATGAAGCTCTTGTGTCTACCTGGGTCCTGATAACCCTGGGCTGGCATTTTGCCTGCATATCCTCAGTCCTCAGAACAACCCCATGAGGTGGATCCAGGCTCTGCCCCTCTCCAGCTGGGGCTCCTCCAGCAAATCACATGACTTCTCAGAGCCTCAGTTTCCAGATTTGTCAAATGAATGCACTGTCTGCCTTGCAGAGTCGTTTTATGAGCACACGAACTGCCAACGCTCCTGAAAGGTCTGGCCCAGCACCCGGCACTTAGGGGGTGCTCTTTGTGTGGCCCCCTTCCCCGACGTACACACCCTAGTTCCATGGCTGTGTGTGTGTCTGGGAGCCCGGGAGGCATCTGAGCCATGCCCCCACATGGCGGTGGCTTGTGAATGGGGAGGGCAGCGTGCAGGGTGCTGGAGGGCTCAAAAAGCCTTCCAAGGCCAGAGAGTGTCCCTTTAGCAATTTCAGACCCAGAAGACACGGTTTTCCTACCAGAAATGAGCACACGATTAGATATAGCATCCCGGAGCCCAGTTTCAGGGTGTGACAGTGAGTTGCATATCTTCCATCAGCCTCTTCAAAGACATCGGCACCAGAAGGGCCCCCCTACACTGTGGAGCCTGACCCACCCATGTTGTAGGTGGGGAAACTGAGGCCCAGAGACAGGCTGTGACTTTCCCAAGGCCATGCAGCCCTGTGAGTCCCCAGCCACCATGCCACACACATCATGGCTCAGAGCAGCATTCACCCTCAAGGAGTTAAAAATGGCCTCCCACTCCCCAGGCCTGACTCAGGGTCAGCAAGGATCCTGGAGGGGAGCATGACACAGGAAGGTGTCGCCATGGTGTGGCCTTGGAAGCCATAATTACATGCTGGCCTGTAGCTCCACATGGGGTGGCAGGACTGGATGGAGGAGAGACCCTGTCGCCTACACACCAAGCCACGCTCAGCCGTGTGGAGATTGTGCCGGAGGCTCGTGGTGACTTGGGAGGCCCGAGAGTCCGGCCACTGATGGAGAGGGCCTCAGGCTGTCTGTGCCCCTCAGCACAGCTCCGCCCTCTCTTCTGTGTCTCAGGCGGACAGGCGGGGAGTGACGGGCAGCAAACTTGTGTGCGCGAGGGCACGGAGGCTGATCTGAGCCACGTTAGATTTCTGGAAGGTTCTGGCTGCCTCAGGCCCAGGAAGAAGAGGAATGCTCCGTGGGGCTGGCCCACGTTGCATTTTCCCTGGGTGCTGCCCCGTGTCCTGAGCCGGAGCACATTTATCTCTGAGAGGATTGTCTCTGCCCTGGAGGGAATTCCTCTCCAGGAGGCTGAAAACAGAAGAAAAACAGTTTAGGCAGAAAGTGCCCAACTCAGGGGCGTGACCCAGGCCCATCTGAAGTCTCTTCTGTGAGTCCAGGCTGATGCCACCCACCTAGCCGGTCGTGGAGGACAGTCCTCAAAGAGTGCCACACACACCAGGGCCAGGGTGGGGTCCACCCTGCAGGCCTGTGGATGGCTGGCCTGGGCCCAGCCGTGGCCACCCAGGGGGCATGCACCTGGCATATGCCCAACAGTTGGGCCCGGCTGGAGGGGAAGGTGTGCTGGCAGGTGGCCGAGCCCTCGTGCCAGGATCCGCTCGGTGTGTCCTCCGGGGCCTCAGCTGCCATATGCCTGTCAGTTCCAGCAGTCGAGCTGCAGATGGGGCGTGGGGCTTGTGCAGGGTAGAGGTAGCTCTGTTCTAGAGGAAGAGGCAGATGCTGACCATGGGGGCTCTTTTTGGAGATGGGGGGATGGGCTGGCCTGCTGCTTTCCCTGACTTCCTCCCACACGCCTGCAGGTCCACATCTTTGATCCCACCGTGTCCTTCACCAGAATCCCCTTGTCCTCTCGTCCTAGTCCTTCTAGGCCACCTCAAACTCTTACCTGCTGTGAGAAGCTGTCCTTGACCTTGCCAGAAGTGAGATGAGAGCCCATCAGTGCTTTGCCTGAGGGCGCTTTTCATGCTCTTTTCTGGCTTGTCGGTATCTGTCCCTGTGTTCCGGAGTTCTCTCCTGCAGACACCATTAGAGGCGTCTTGGAGTCACCAGTTGTCAGCACAGGCCCTGCACAAGAGAAGGCAGCTGGAAAGACGTGTGGAAGAAGAGAAAGCGCAGCACTCTGCGTCCTCAGTTCCTGGACACACACCTCCTTTGGGAGAGTGTGGGGCCTCAAAGAGGATGTAATAATAATCAAACAGTAACTCCCTTGATTGGGTGTCTTTCATGTGCCAGCCCAAGGCTAAGTACTTTAGATTTACATCATGTCAGGAACCCTCCAGCAGCCCAGGGCGGTACATACTATTCTTGTCCCTGTTTTACCCATAAGAACATTGGGACACACACAGCTGGGATGTGGCAGATCCAGGACTGGAACTCAAGACTGCTGCCTACCACGGTGCTCATCTCTCAGGCAACAAATAATTTTTGGCTCAGCTCACAAAAGAGAAACTAGAAAGGGTTAAACTTTTAAAGGGACAGCAAGAACTTTCATGCGTCTTAGCATTTGCTGGAGCCCAGTGGGGGTAGGTGGGGATGGAGCAGGAGGGGCAAGGAAAGGACCCCTCGCCCCTCCCAGAGCCCAGGCTGGTTTAATCCCGGGCACTGCTGTCAATGTTCCAGGCTCCTGTTGGTAAGGGGTTGACAGAGCCTGAAGGGCAGATCTCTTTGCCTGAGCAGCGTGGGTGGAGAGTGTATTTAGAAGACTGGGTCCTGGCCAGGTGCTGCCACTGCTGTGCTCGTCGCCCTGGCTAGTCCCTTGCCTCCTACCTCAGTTTCCTGCTCCCAAGGGAGCAGGACTGGGCAATCCCGGAGTGGACTCTGACTGCATTCCAAGCCCACTGACTTGGGGCGCACAGATGCACTCTCTCCAAGACTGTCCAGTGGCTGCTGCCGTCACGTTCTAGTCCCTGGTGAGTATCGGGCTCCCTGGAGACTGTGATAAGTTCCATTCACCACAGAGGTGGCAGCCGGAGCTATTTTTGGAGCAGCATGTGGTGGGGGAGTTTCCTTTTGGCAGTGGCTGGGGACAGGAGTCTTGGGCAGGGGAAGTCCCCTACAGAGACAGGGCTGGGCTGGCTCCTCTTCCTTCACCAGCCCTGGCACAGGAAAGCCACCCAGATCCCCAGAGGCCCTGGCACCGAGCGTCCGCCTTCAACCCCCGAGCCAAGCAGACCTTCCCCGAGCTTCTCAAGAGCCACTTTGCAAGGTACCAGCCTTTGCCCTGCCTCCTGCTCTGGGGAGCCCCTCGCCCTTTCCTGCCACCTAGGGCTGCTGCCTTTGCCCTGGAGGGTGTGCCCAGCAAGTGACTGGGAGGCAAGCCTGAGCGACCTCCAGTGCCTGGGTTCACAAAGCACCCGACCTTGGCTGCACTTCCAGACCGCTGCCCCTTGACCCACCCGCAGGTGGGTGCTGCCAGGGGGCTAGTGCCAGCAGCCTGGCATGACCTTTGCCACCGCCCAGGTGTGTGTGTGTGGGGGGGCAGTTCCACATTGAGTGATCCTGGACTTTACCAGGACTCCTGAGGTTACAAGGGGAGCAGCAAAAGCAGTGCTTACCTCTCCGTGTGGGCTTTGGAGCCCCTTCCTGATGTCTGAGCCATGAGTTCTCCATTGAGCTTTCTCCCGCCAGGTGTAGCCATCCCTTCAAACCTTAAAATGGGGGAAGAAGAAAATAAGGGAACTTCCCCTGGTTATAGTCCACTGAGTAGAATTATGGATGCTCTCCTGGGGCCCGGGACAAGCTTCTACAGACACTGAAGCCCTCCAGCCCCGCGGGGCCTGCGCTCTGCAGGTCCTCCTTTTCCTATTGGTTGGCAGGGCAGTAGCCATGGTCTGAGACGAGGTATGGGAGTAAAGGAATTTCTGCTCTGAGACTGCCCTTCCTTTTAAACCCCAGGCCCTCCCCAGCACCCCCCCCCCAGATGAGCTGGCCAGGGAGCCCCAGGCTCCTCCCTCCTGGCCTCTTGTGTTTCTATACCTGGTCAGCAGCCATTTACCTCGCCCTCCCTCTGGCCTGCTAGGGCCCCAGGGGAGTGGTTTGGTCTCTGCCATCGAGGAAATCTCCATTTGAGGGAGAGAGAAACGTGAGCAGGCAGTGACAGCATGGGGACCAGGGCTGTAGAGGCAGGAGTAGCTGACGGGAAATCCAGGAAGGCTGCCTAGAAGAGGTGCCCCAGGTTGGGCCCTAAAGGAAGCTCCAGGTTTCCTGGGAAACAGTTCGTTCCAGGCAGGGGAAGCGAGCCTACCAAGGCCTTGAGGAGAGAGCGAGCTCATTTCCCTGGAGGGCTGGGGTCCCTGGGACAGTGGGCCTGCCTAAGGAGTTGGGGGCTCCTAGCAGAGTGAGATTCCAGCTCCCCCCCCCACTCCTGCTCCAGGGGTTTCCAAGGATCACCCCAAACAAAGGAGATTGAAACCCAGACTGGAAACAGTCAGACCTGGGTTCAGACACGGCATACCATGTACCGGCTGCGTGGGCTTAGCAAATCGCTTGACTTTCCTGTGCCTTAGTTTCCTCATCCGTAAAATGGGAACATCAAAGACATGGCAGCAGAAACAGCTGAGGCCCTGCATGTAACTCCCTGGCAAAGAGGAAGGGGTTAGCAGAGGTGGGATGAGGCCAGCCTGCACCAGGTCCCAGAGCCCAAGACCTCCCGGACAGTAACCAAATGCCTCACTGCTTCTTTAACTGAGAGATGTTTCCAGCTCCTGCATTTTTTTTCTTCCAGAATTGGGTTTTATTACTCAAGAAAGAGGAAGTGAGAGGTGATCAGGAACCTCCTCAATTTTACAAAGACTTTGGGAAGCCCTGCAGTGTGATGCAGGGTGTGTTTTGAATGGCCGGATGATTTCTGCCTGGTGGGAGACCTCGGGGACCCTGAGGGGTTCCTGCACATGGAAGGCAGATGTTTCTTGCCTGGGGTTTTCAGGAGGGTGGGAGGAGCACCCTTCCACTGACTGATCAGAAGTTTATTCAGCCAGCTGCCACTATTCTGTGCCAGGCCCTAGGCGAGGTGCTGGTGGTTTCTATTGTAGATGACTGCTAAGACCAGTCCCCGCCTTGAAAGGCTGGCAGAGGAGGAGGAGGAGAGGGTGACAAAGAAAGCAGTTTGTGCCTGAACAGCCAGACGTTAGAAGAGAAGCCCGTGTGGACACCATCAGATGAGAAGAGAGGGGGCCTGACTGCCCCTGTGTGCCCACCCTGTGGGGACTGGCTGTTTCTTTAGAGATGAGAAAATCCAGGCTCGGGGAGGAGGTGGGACTTTCCCTGGACACCACAAGAAGTGTGGTAGGACTGACTAGGACCTGGGACCTTGTCCTGATGCATGAGTGGGACTTTGCCCGGCGCCAGGTCATAGGTTCCAGGCAGAAGCTGGCATATGAAAAGGCCTGGAAGGGCCAGGGTGCTGTGTGGTTGGGTGCAGGGCCTGGGGTGGGGTGAGGGGCTGGGGGGAAATGCAGGAAGGCAGGCCCATGCCAGCTGGGCAGAGCTTGCAATGCCTTGCTTAGGGGTGTGGGCGTTTTGCCGGGGAGCTTGGGGTGGGGAGTGGCCGGTTGGGATCTGTGTGTTGGGGGTGGGGCCCTTCCCATGGCGGCCTGGAGGTTGGGTCATCAGGCAGGAGGCGACTGCAGAGACCCCGCTGAGAAGGGGCCAGGCCAGCACAGGGCAGGGGCTCTGAGTGAGTGCAGACTTGTTTAGGGAGAGAATCAGCGGGCCTGGATGAAGACCAGCTGTGGGCTGTGAGGGAGGGCAAGGCGTAAGGCAGGGCGAGCCTGGGTTCCCGCCGGGTCCCTGGGCAGACAGAGAGGAGCCCATTGCTGAGATGGGGACTCGGGAAGGGTGAGCAAAAGCTCCGATTGGGCCAAGTGAGTCTTCGGTGCCTGTGGCTTTTGATGGTTGAGGTCTGGAGCTCTGGAGAGAGGCCCCAGGCTGGACACAGAAGGATGGGGGCTGGTGGTGGATGAGGGAGGCGAGCTAGGGGTGCCGGGGAAGTGAGCTGTGTGGGAAGAAAGGCCCCGTCGGCCGGGTGGGTTCAGCATCGCCCCTCAGCTGCTGGCCTCCGGGTTCTGCAGGCCCACCCTGCGGGAGGCCAGCAACCCCTCTGCTCAGGCTGCACTGTCCTTTCAGAGCTGCTTGGAGTCCCATGTCTTAGAGAAGCCAGGCTCGTGGAGCTGAGGAATCTGAGCAGCATGTGTGGCTTTGGGGGTGAGGGTGAGGGGACACAGGACCAGTCAGGAAACCAGACACCATCTGTGGCTCGTCCCCTACAGCTCCCAGGCCCCCATGACTCCGGCCTGAGATCTGGCTGCTTCCTGTCAAGTGATGAATGGATAACGTTTGCTTATCCCAAGACCAGAAGACAAGTGGGGCTGGGGAGGGCATAGGACACAGCAGCCGGAGCCACACCTCTGGGCCAGAAGTCATTCCTTCATTCACTCTTCTAAGGCTGCTGGACTAGTGGAGTCAGACAGACTTGGTTTCCCCCTGTGGCCTTATGTGTGACCTTGGGCCCGTCGCTTAACCGGTCTGAGCTTTCCTCCTCTTCATCATGCAGATCATAGCAGCCCATGACATCTTAGAGCCTCAGTTTTCTCATCTGCAAAATGAGTTTTTCTTGGGTTTCTTGGAAGGTGTCGAGTCACTCAGCTCAGGGAGCGCGCTTGGTGTGGATGTTGGCTGATGCTGAACCTGGTCCGGCCTTGACCCCACTGGTGGCCAGGCTGAGCTGCCCTGTCTCCCTGGGCCTCAGAGCTCCACTGTGGAGGGGTGTGCCGGGCAGTGCCAGCCTGTGGCACCTGTCCTTTCCCAGCTGGCCGAAGACCTCAGGCAGTGGGCACCCATCCTAAGCATCTGCCACCGGGAGCCCGTTGGACAAGTGGAAATAGCCCCTGGTGCCTGCACTGGTGTTGGGTCAGTCACTTGGGGGAAAAGAAAACCATGTGTTTAGGAGGCTGTGAAGTCATGGGATGGTTTCCTACTTTGGGAAAACAACCTGTGAAGCCGTTCACTCAGCGGGGAGGACCGAGAAGGGGCCTTCCTCAGAGAAAGCAGCATGGAGTCCGGCGTCCAGCTGAGGCCAAGCCTCAAGGATGTCTGTGTGGTTCTCCCGAGGCTTTGGCAGAACCTGTTGGTCTAGGAGCCACGGTCACCAGAAGAACCCTGACATCATGGGCACAAGCACGCAGCACATGCAGAAAAGGGCAGGGACGCACGCTGTTTCCACCTCAGGGCTTGGGAGCAGGTGACAAATACTCACGCCCACACAATATAATAATGCACCTCCAGCATACCCTCAGCCACACACTTAGGCCCCCAAACCTGCCCCAGGCCTGAGCCTTCGTGGTGTCTGGGGTCATCTGGCACTGAGAGGGGAAGGGCCTCAGTGAGCCACCAGCCTCCAGGTGTGGAGGTGTGGCATGGAGCAGGCTTTTCCCTAGATGAAATTTCCAGAAATTGGGAGGCAAGGCTCAGGCGACCGTCTTGGTCAGAAATGCCACTTGGAAAACCTCAGAGCCCAGCCTAGCGGGAGCTGACCCCTTCTAGGGAGTGCCCAGATTAAACCCAAGTCCCCTTGTCTTCCCTACAGTAGGAAGAGCCAGATGGAAGGCCAGGGTCGGAAGGAGCGTGTCAGTGGGCTTCGCAGAGGTGGCCACAGTTCCCGTAAGTGATGGAGGAGGCATTTGCTCCAGATCATCCCAGTGAGGCCATGTGTGCGGTAGATGGAGCACGACCGGGGGTCCAGCAGCCCCAGATGTGTCTCCCACCAGCTGTGTGACCCTGTCTGAGCCCCAGCTCCTGTGTCTGTCACCTGGAGGCTCTCCCTCCTCCATTGCCCAGTGACGGTTAGCGCTAAGGACCATGCAGCACCTAAAGCCTCAGAGGGCCCTTTGTACGTGCCAGGCTCGGTTCTAAGGAGTTAACGTGTTTTACCCTGTCGGTCACCCTAAGAGATAGACCTTACCATGAGCCGTATTTTCCAGATGAGGAAGCAGACACTGCGTGGTTAAGGGACTCCAGTCCCAAACAGGCCCTGGGCCTTAACCCCTGGGCCCACCCTGATCCAGTCCCTGGGCACACGTCACACGCACACATCGGGAACCCAGGCTGGGAAGCCACACTGTGCGCCCACAGTGCCTTGGAAATGCAGGGCCCTTGTTCCCTGCGAAGAAAGGCCCTCTTGGAGGTGGCGCTCAGTGAGGCCTGCGCTCTGGGTCTCGCATTCCACGGAGTTGTGGCCCCTGACGTGGGCTTGGCAGCCTGCTTGTCATTGTTCTGCACCTTGGCAGGAGCCACAGGCACAAGCAGCTCCCCGCGTCGCCCAGAGGTGCTGGCATGTGCGGCCGGTCTTTGCCCTGCTCTGCATGTTGTCCCTCCAAATCCAAATCCTCTACCTCGGTCTTTCTGCATCTGAGCCCCCTCAGAAGCAGTTTCCGGCAGGAATTTCTGGGGTAAAAGGGTTGGGTTTCTGTGGAAGTATAGACAAAGGGGATGAAAATCCTCTGACATGCAACACTCCTTGAGAGCCTCAAGAGGCAATGGCTGTCTGGGACCTAGGTGGGGCTTAGGCGTTAGTGAGAGCTGGGTTCCAATGTCCCCACTGTAGCTCACCTGTGACATGACGTTGAGCCTCCCTTCTCTGTGCCCGATTCCCCATCTGTAAGATGGGTCTACCAGCAGTCCCAGGACGGATGGGACAGACCTGGCCCACCGGAAGCCCAGCGAACCTTCATTGCCTTCCTCCCTCTGCTACCCGCTCCGTCCCCCGCTCCCACCTTCCTCCCTGCCTCCTGCCCTTTCGTAGTGGCTCTCTCTCTGGCACTTGGCGGGGACGGGTGCTGTGACTTGCAGGGTCCTCCTTGGCTGCTGCTTTCCTGGAACAAAGACACCCCCCCCACACACACACACACACACTGGGAACACGCTGCAGCATGTTCCGTTAGTTTCTGGACAGAACAGCTCAGGAACAGTGATTTACCGAAATCCCAGGGGTTTGGCAGGAAAGGTGTGTGGACAGCAGTGCTGCAGCAGCTTGGTGCCATCCTGAAAGGCGAGGGGGCTCCTGTCCATGGGCCCCAGTGCGGGGGAAATGGCCCTTCGTGGCCCACTGGCCCTGGGATCACCCTTACCCACTCAGCACAGGCCCCGTTCCTGAGTGGAGGGGGCTTGTTCAGTAGGGAGCCACCTGAAGGGACGATGATGTGTTGCTGGGAGGAATGCAGCAGGGTGGTTTGGGGCACAGATGCTACCGTGGGTTCGAATCCTGGCTCCACTGCCTGTGACCTGTGTGAGCTAGGCAAATCTCTTAGCCTCCTTGTACCTTAATTTCCTTGTCTGTGGCACGGAACCGTAAGAGACCCTGTTTCATGGAATTGCTCAAATGAGGTGGACTAATAGAGTTGAAGTGTGGGGAGCAGGGCCCAGCGTAGAGCGGGCCCGTGATTGTTGGTTTACCGTTAGGATTATTTCTGAGGAGGCCGGGGGTGGGGGCCCTCACGCTGCTCCTGGGGCCCAGTGTGAGGGCGTGCCGACTGCTGCCTCTGGGCTCAGATGTGGGAATGCCATGTGGGGCATGGGGGATGGGATGACCTTCACAAATGAGTTTCTGCCCAATGTGACTTGCCCAGGGTCTCAGCTTGGGGGGGTGTCAGGGCCAAGATACAAACCCATGCCCGCTGGCCACAGGTGGCTGCGCGAGGTGGGATGAGGGGAGGGATAGCCAGAGAGTGCTGGACCGTGGTTCCTGAACCACATTCCATGTGAAATCTGAGCCAGTGGGCAGGTGAGCCATGTATGGGCTGTGCCCGGTGCCTTCTGAGATAGAGACAGAGCCTTCCTGCTGAAGACAGCTTTCCTCCCACCTTCCCCCAGAGTCTCCCTACGGGCAGAGGGTGATGAACATGTCACCCGGAGGGGTCTGGGGGTGCAGCCCGAAGCAGCAGCAGAGCCTGCAGGAGTCTCCGGTTTTATCTTAAAATTCATGCGCATTTTACATTCTGTTCCCTCTGTATCCGGTGTATTCTCGCACACATCTTCCCCTGAGTAGCAGCGCTGCCTCGGGAAGCTGCTCGTGTTTATCTGTTTATCCTGGGGCTTTTCATACCGGGGTCCTCACTGTGTCACCTGGGGGTGTGAGCTTCAGTGCGGGAGCTCAGGCACAGATGGTGGGCAGATGCTGAGGGGGCCATGGTTCCATCTGCATTTCAAGAAATGGCCTCAGTGGTCCACACAGAGGAGGAGGGCTTGGCAGGGAGGGCACCAGGTGCTGGAGACCCCATGGTCCAGGAAAAGGCAGGGGTTTGGGGGAGAGAGAGGCCTCAGAAGGACAGGAACACCCCCACAATGCCTGCAACGTGACACTTGATTTGAGATAAGAGAAAAAAGAAACAGCAAGAGATCTACCTTTATCTGTATACCTTATGATGAACCACATGAAAAGCTGTGTGTGTGTGTGTGTGTGTGTGTGTGTTATGGGTGGGGGTGTCAAAACTGGTTGAGTTTCAGCAACTTCACAGACAGGAGACCGCACGGGCCGGGCCGGGAGGACACTGTCCTGGCTGGGCCTCCCGTGCCGGCCTGAGTTGGGTGGATCTGCACTCTCTGCTGTGTGCTCCATGTGGCCTCGCGTTCTGCCATTCGTGTGGCGTGCCGGAGAGCAGGTTTACCCCAAAACGCTGATGAGAGGGGTGTGAGGGAGGAGCTGGGCCTGCCCTGAGGACAGGGCGCTGGACGCCCGCACACATATTCTAGAGATTCTAAGAGGCTCGGGAGCTTTTAAGGCAGAGACAGGGAGGCCAATGGTCAAGCTCAGTGGTCATTTCAGGGCTTGGTGGACACCCTTTGACGGATCAAAGGGTGTCATAGACATCCCTGAGCCTGAGAGCCTGAGAGAGCTGGCCCACCAACCACTGCAGCTGGAATAAACTACGGGGGTGGGGGGAGTGGGGGAGGAAGGAAGAGTGATTTGCAGTCCAAGAACCTGAGATCTTCAGGGCATTGACTGTAACAACCCCATCTGGTGTTGACTCCTTCCCTGCTGCCCAGAACACCCCTATTCAGGGGTGTATGTGTCTACTTAGGAGGTGCATGCAGCAGGCCTTGCCACCCACTGGCCTCTTAGTTTGGGGTTTGGCTAGTGGGGACGGCTGGGGGTGCAGATGACTGGGTGGGTTAAAGATTGCAAGAGGCAGCCTGTATAGGAAGGATGATGCCTTAGGTTAACCTCTCCTGAAGCAGACCCTGAGAGTAGGCTGCACAGGAAAAACGGAAGGGAGTCGGGGTGGCAGACAAACAGGGGTGCGACCTCAGACCAGATCCGCTGGCCCCACCCAGGTCTTCGGAGTGTGGGTTACACCTCAGTGTCCTGACCTCAGGCCAGGGAAGCAGCTTTTGGGGAATTTGGCTCCCTAGAGGTTATAGACGGAGCCGTTCCAATGGCCTGGGCCAGTCCTTAGGGCTTCTGTTTGGGATGTGTGTGGTGAGAGGTGCCCTCAGGTTAGCCAGGTACAGCAGCCTGATTCAGGGGGCCCTGACTTTGCCAGTGTTTTCCAGGCATCAGCCCCTCTCCTCTGCAGCCCTGGGGGAACCCAGGCCTGGCCCTGGACATGGAAGATGCTGCCGAAATGCTTGTGCGTGAGTGAAGACCTGCCCTCCCAAGGAGGAGCACTGCTCCCTTCGCAGCCGGGAGGATCGCTGCGTGCTCCCTGCCCCAGAGGCGCTCATCTGCTGGGCGGCTGGCAGTGGCTGCCTGTGGCACCAGGAGTGCAAAGATATTAGGAATGATTCTCAGATGGCCTTTGGCTCAGGCCTGGGCACATGGTGGTGCTTAATTTGAGACAATAGCTGCGGTTACTATGGCAACTGGTGACTAGCATCCTGACTCTCCCGGGGACCTCTGATGTGGCAGCTCAAGCCCTGGAGGTTGAGGGGACTGCTTTCTTGTGCCCAGCGGTTTGTGTAGGACTGTGAGCGGGACCCATGGCCTTGGACTTCCCAGTGTTTGATGCACATAGCCCAGCAAGGATGGGGTTGTGAGGTCTCTCCTGCAGCTGCTGCTTGCAGTGTGACTCAAGGTCTCTTTCTCCTGACCACCCAAGCTGCCATCCTGGGGTTATGTGAGGGTGATGATGGGGGACAGGGATGCAGAACTGCCCCCAAGAGGCATGGAGAACAGTAATGGGGGAAGAACAAGGCTCCGCAGACTGGCACATGTGGGGTTGAATCTGGCACCTCCCTTGCTGGCGGGGGCTCACCTTCAGAACTTTTCCCTGCACAGAGCCTCAGTTTCCCCCTCTGTCAAATGGGGATAATCCTAGCAACCTAGTCAGGACAGCATAATGAAGGGAAAGTATGTCATGCAGGGTGTTGAGTCTTAGCCCTGCCACTTCTGAGCTGGGTGACTGTGGGCAAGTTACTTAACTGCTCCATACCTCAACTCACACATCTGTAAAATGGGGCAAGTGAAAGTACTTCCTCCATCTCAGGGCTGTCGAGAGGAAAAGGCGAACTGGCATGGATATAAGAAAGCCCTCGTTTTCTTTTGCAGCCCATGCCCTTGTGAGGCTGGCATGCAGGATGGCAGGACAGCCCAGCCACATGCCCCATGGAGGGAGCCCGAACAACCTCTGCCACACCCCGGGGCCTGCGCACCCCCCTGACCCACAGGTAAGCCCTTTTCCTCTGTCTGCATCAGAGAGTCTCCGAGGAACACAGATCCCTGAGGCTGCTTCTTCCCAGCTACTGGAGAAAGCCCCTCAGCAGCCCCAAGACAGAGCTTCTTGTGTGCTTCCCATGATGGGCGCAGAGCTCACTACCTAACCTAGTCAGGCCTTCTTAGAGAAGTCTCTTTGTGCTGGATTCTGGTGGCATGCCAGGCCTGGTCCCACCTCTGGGTGTTTCCATGTGAATGGAACAGCTTTATTTCAGAGGGATCAGCACCACGTAGGATGGAGTGTAGAGGAAGTTGGGGAGGCCCCAAGGAGAGACTGAGGGTGCGGGACAATGGGCAGGGTGAACTTGGGGTCAAAGAGCTTCCTTACTCTAGGCTGAAGTCTGCCTCCCTTTCTGGTCTGAACCACGTTCTGGTCTCTTCACCCTCAACAGAGTTCAGACACACTGGTTTCCTTCCACCGGCCTCGCCTTCTCTGTAGATCCTCAGAGAGCCAGGCAGCCTTTTGCAGCTTTTCTGAAGGCAGTTTCTGGGGTTCTGAGCTGCTCAAACACCCCAGGCCCCTTGCACATGCTGTTCCTGCCTGACTCCTTCAAGCGTCAGTCCAAATGCCACTGCTTCTGGGGAGCCTTCCTGTTCCACCCCATTCCCTCTTCTCTGCTGCCTTTACAGGCACAGGCACTGGGTCGTGGCCACGATGACACCCCTCCAGGGGACTGGTTCCTGCGTCTGCCTGCCCAGACAGAGAGTCCTCTGGGGTGGGGCTTCACCAGTCACACCATCCCAGGTCAGGCACAGAGGAGTCTCTTGTGCTTGCTGAGTTAATGCACTTAAAGTACGTGTAGTGCACACACCCAGGACATGGCTGTGTGTGAGGCAGACCTACGTCTGCTCTGAGGGTGCACACAGCCTCATGGGAGAGAGAGACAGGAAACAAGGCAGAAGAAACTCGGGAGCCAGCAGAGCTCCAACAAGGCACCTGAGCTGAGCTAGGGGGCTACGAGGCCTGGCATGCAGAGGCCTGGAAGGGACAGGGAGCTTGACAGGGCAGATCAGTCAGGACCAGATGCTATAGTGTCCTGTGAGCAGCCTGGAATCATGAAAAGTAACTGTCCAGGGTTGGCTTTTGTCCCTAGGCTGTGAGATCTAAATCAGGGGGAGACAGAGACAGCCACCTTCCTGAGTCATGGAAGGGTTGTCACAGCTTCTAACTGCCTAGTTTTTGTGGGAGGGCTTCAGGTGGACTGGTGTTTGACCTGTTTGGGCAGGGTTGCCATGTACAGTTGTACAGGTTACACACTGCACAAAGGTGCCTGGCCAAGGAGGCGGGTGAGTCTGAAATCCTTCTCCTGCTCCTGAGCTCTCATCAAGCCATGCTTCCTGGTGCAGGCTGCATAAGCTCCAGGAAAGAAGCACCTCTATAGATTCACACAGAGGTGACATATGAACTAGGACAAACTCTGTGTGCGTGTGTGTGTGCGCGCGCGCGCACGAGGGTCCAAAGGCATCTGTGCTATTTATACTCTCCATTTCCATTCTCGGCTGATATGCAGGGGCCCATTTTCTGGGTGGAATTTGGGGAGGCAGATCCCAGAAAGCTGGGCAGCCTGTGGACACGGCTGGTCCACAGCCCACCAGGACATCTCACTGATGGCTGGGGCAGCGGGGCCTCTTCGAGTAATGTAGCAATTTGTCATATTAAGTCATTCACTAACAATTGAGTCCCCCTTGATTAATCTCCCAGAATTAGCCAGTTGCATTTCGAGCAATTAGGGTTAATTACAGCCTCATTTGGCAGAAGAGAGAGCCCCGTAATTATTTCACAATCAAGGAGAGGAGGCTCTGGGCTGCAGTGGCAGCGGTGTCCGTGGCGTGTCGTCGCACATGTTGGAGTGGTAATGACATAGTTAAGTGTAATTAGATACGATTACTTGGTGTTGGCTAGCGGCTGTCGCTGAAGATGCCCCCAGTCTCACCAGCATCTGGCTGGGTTTGCAGAACCAGTCGCAGCAGTGTCGACGACGACATAGGGCTGCTGTTGTCTGGGCTGGAAAGGGGACAGCCAGGCACTTTCTCTCTCCTGAAACAATGGGGTTGCACCACCGGTTAGGGATCTGTCAGGGCCTGAATCTTGCCCATTTCAGGATATAGAAACACCTCAAAATGAAGACAGAGGTGTTTTCCTTTATGGCAGGAGGCACTGCTGTTCCCCTGAAATCATCCTTAGAGGAAGGAGCCAGGCTCCCACAGCAGGAATGCTGTGTGCTGGACCAGGCTGGGTTCAGTTCCCAGCTCCATCCCTCACTGAGAAGGCGACACTGGGTAAAGGACCTCGCTGAGCCCCAGTTTCCTCATCTGTAAAATGGAGCCATGAAGACTAAGGGAGGTGTTATGCATTAAACATCTGGCATGGCATCCAACATTGTGGGTGTTAAGGAAATGGTATGTCATATTTTATGATCTTATATTTTAAAAATTCATTTTAGTTTTCACAGCTAAAGAGCCCAGAGCTGGAAATAGAAAGAACAATTTAACCAACACTCAAACTCTGGGTTTTATTAACCTTCTATGCCCAAGGCAAGTGGTGTGTTGATTTCAATGGGGCTTTCTAGCTCTGAGAGCTGTCAGCCTATGAAAATATGTTTGCTGAACACGCAAGACTCATATAGGAAATACATAATACTTGGGAACGCTGAACATGCTCGCTTTTATTGAGGTTTTTGAATGAATGAATGAATGAATGAATGAAGTTGAGAAAAAGAGCTTAAAATGCCCTGTGCTTTTTGATTTTACCACTTTGCTACAGAGCATTTTCATCAGGAATGAAACGCAAGGCTCAGCTGACCCACTGAGAACCACATGAATTTCCAAAAAGAAGAAAGGTGTTCTTGTCTGAGACAGGCCTGGCTAATGTGTCTTCCATCTGGAAAGTCCTTGCAGACTTACTCGGGACGTGCCAAGTTCTGTTATATTCAGCGCTATTCAGAGAGGAATGTGCTTAACTTTACAGGGAATAGGAACAGCTGTCACTGGGTCCACATTGCACAGGCCCAAATCTTTATGAAAATCTTCCCAAACCCGTGATGGTACTTAGATAGGATTTAATGACCAAATATTAACAGCCATTCAAATTCAAGAAGTGCTTGCTTTGTTGTAACTTCAGCAAGTGCTTGTCTCATTTCTGCCTTGGGTCTCTTTGTTCCAGGAAGAGGAAGGAGCCAGACCTCAAGGTGCGGACCCGTCAGGTTAGATCAGTGTTTAAATACCGGCGCTTAGATGAGGTACAATAGCCGGTGTTTATGAAAAGCCCTGGAATCCATGCCTTGCCATTTGGAATTGACTCTGTAGAGAAGGGGGGAGCCCATTATGGGTTTGAAGTTGACATGAGTTTGGGTTTTAGATCACTCGCAGCCGGGGCTTGAGGCACAAGTAAGGTGATAATAGGAGGAGACAAGGAGGCCGCTACCCTCACCCAGGTGAGATGATGCCTTGGCTTTAAGCAGGCTGGACGCAGGAAGGAAGATTCCAGAGACTTCTAGGGGGAAAATCCAACTGCTCTTGGTAACTGGAAGGAAAAGGGAGAGGGGAGTCCATGTGTCCAGGTTTCTGGGTGGCCTGCTGATGCTCTGGATGGCTTCATTCTTCGAGTCTTTGCTTGTCAGTCGTTGGAGCTGGTTGCAGATTCTCTCACCCGTATGTTTAAGCTCAGCTCTGTCTGAGCCCAGTTAATGAGGATCGGCCTGGGGGAGCCACTCCAATTGAGATGATTTTGGGTTTTGTTATCAGGCATTTTCCATGCTTTGGGCGTCTTGCTCGCTGTTCCCCTGGAGCTGAGTGTAGAGTCCAGGTTGAGACAATCATGGTGGTGGTTGCACCACAGTGTGACGCCCGGCACTTACCTCATTTTGTTCTTTTACCCACTCAGAGAAGTAAGTCTTATTCAGAACTCCGTTTGGGGCGGGGGGGGGGGGGGGGGGGGGGGGTGGAGAGAGGCGGCGGCGACTTCGGAAAATTCACAGCCCAACTTTTGTGTCGAAAGAAAAGAAAAACAGAGNGGGGGGGGTGGAGAGGATGGGGACTGAGATAAGTAACTTGCCCATTTGCTATGAAGGGGCAGAGCCAGGAATCCCTCGAGTCCTGTGGCCCCATGTGAGCCTTCTTGCCACAACTCTGAATGAGGGAAGATTGGTTTTGTGTTTGAAATTAGCCAGATCGTGAAGAGCTGAGTGGAGCTGGCCTCGTAATGGGCCTGACAATATGGACTCTTGGTAAGTTGTGTCCATCTTTTATGCAACGTGGATTTAAAACACATCACCATATACACATATACTGAATCCATTAGAAGTTCCCTACACACGATGTCAGATGTCTTTAAAGGTGAAATTCGTTTACAGCAAATGTCATCCTGATGAAGTATGCTTTTTAAAATCATAGAAACGGTTGCCTTAAAATTAATGATGCATTGCAAATATCAGGGAAAAAAGAGACCCATCCAGTGTAAAGATGTTTAAAATTCAGGTCAGAAGCCTGACTTAGTCAGGCTAAATTTTTTAATGAGATTTCAGAAAATTAATTGGGCGAATGCAGTTTTATTCTTTTAACATGTAATTTTATGCTCCTGCTTTAACAACAACAAAAAAAGGATTTGTCAATAGCTGAGGCTTATTGTGGTTCAAACATTTTAAACTCAAATTAGCACAGGCGGGGGGTGGAGGGTGGGGTGTGTGTGTGGCCTAATTTGATCTGACTTGGAGAAGAGAGCTGGATTTCCCAAGCTTTCTGGAGTAAGGTGTCCCGGGGTGATTCAAGACACCCCCTTCCCTGTATGTCTGGCCTCGGCCTGAGAAGGTTGGCGGCATTTCTTGGGAGGGTGGGATTGGGGATAGAGATGACCCAGGGATCTGGCTATCTCCTTGTTTCCCCCAGATTCCTCCAGAGCTGCTCCCAGAGATTCCTCCTCTCTCTGAGATTGGGTGTTTTCCCAGGTAGCACAGGCCGCCTCTCTCGGGCCCACTGCAGCTGGCAGCAGCGCGTGGGCCAGCATCCCTGCCGCCTCCTCCCAGGCCCCTTCATCCCATCTCCTCTACCTTTGGGGGTGACCTAAGGGTCTCCCACCCTGGGGAAGGGGGATGAGGAGTCAGAAATGGCCTCTAGCACCCACAGTGCAGTGGGGCGAGGCGAGCCCGCTGTCTAGCACATCCCCTTGGCAAACAGTCCCAGATGACTTGCTTGGGGATGGTGAAGTCAAAAGGCTGCGGGGGCGCGTCCACCTCACTGCTTTACTGTGGCCAGGTGACGTTGGGTAAATGGCCTCCCTGAGCCTCAGTTTCCTCATCTGTGAAATGGGCCTGTGAAGACTTAGTGAGACTTTAAACATCCAGCGTGGCATCCAACATCATGGGTGTTAAGGAAATGATATGTTACTGATCTTATTCTTATATTTTAAAATGCATTTTAGTTTTCACAGCTGAAGAGCGCAGAGCAGGAAATACCCTCGGCGCAGGTCCTCGGTGGGGGTAGGAACGTTGGGATGTTGGTCGCGCCAGTGAGCACTTCTTGCACTTGGGCCAGGCGCTCACCAGGCCTGCACTGTGCACACCCTGCCTCAGCTCATCCCCAGCCCCCTAGGAAGTAGGTGCTGCTGTTCTACAGACATCCCACAATGCCAATACCAATAATAATGACAGACAGACAGCATTTCCTGTGTGCCAAGGGCTTTCATTCATTAACATATTTAACCCTCTGAACAAGGTACTATCATTTATCTTAATTGTACAGATGAGGAAACTGAGGCCTAGAAGGGCTTGCCCAAGGCCCACAGCCAGGAAGTGGCAGAACTGGGATTTGAACCCAAGCTTCTGGGCCAACCTCTCTGCCAACCTGTGCCCCAGGAGTTGTGTTTATTTTCCCCAGGAGCCAGCATGGGGTCCCAGACTTAACAAGGGACAATAAGTATGAAAGGAGCAGTTTACAGAAAGACCATCAGGATTATTACTCTGAGCCACTGTGGTGCAAGCTGGGGATTGTTACTCTGAGCCACCGTGGTGCGAGCTGTCGGGGCCAGCCCCACATTTGCCCAGTAGCCTAGAGCTCCCAGCCCCTTTTCACCAATATCATCCCGCTGAACCCGTAGGGAATCCTGAGGCTGGTGTTAATGGATGACCTCACTTGGCTGCAGGGGCAAGAGTGGAACTTGCTGAGGGCTGACCCAGGCCAGGAGGAAGGCCTTGGCGGTGGCTGTGGAGAGAGGCCTGGCCTTTTGGGTCAGGAACTCAGTTCATCTTTTTCTTTTCCACTCACAGCTCTGAGTTAAGTTAGGGTCAGGACCCTGCTGGCTCAGGCAGCTGCACCCAGGGGCCCTGTGTCCCGCGGTGCCCCCCACCTGGACAGAGGCCATCCCAGGACAGGGCCTCATCCCAACCCCTGCAAGGGCAGTGGTGCCCCCACCCCCAGAGCCTGACGGCGCCCTCACACGGGTGCTGCTGCCTGGGTAACCTGCCCCCCAACAGGAGCGTCCCCTAATTAGGTTGAATGGGCTGTGACAGGAAATGCAAGTCTGGGTCATCGCATATGCAGATGTGCAGCTGGAGTGTCAGCGATGCCAGCTGGGATGTCACCCACATCCTCTGGGAGCTTCCCCGTGGCTGTGGAGCTGGGCAGTGCGACCTCTGGGACACATCTCTGGGGTGGGTAGAGAGTGCTCAGGGCTCCAGCCCCTTGTCACTGGGAGAAGCCATCCAGTGTTTCCAGATCAAGGACTCTTGGAGATCACATCATCCAAACCCTTCAAGTCCCAGGAGAAAAACTGAGGCCCAGAGAGGGGTGGGACTCTGCCCCATGCCACCCAGCCACGCAGCTGGCTGTACATCATCAGGGAGTTCAAGTCCCAGCTCCCCACTGACTAGCTATGTGACCGTGCTTCAGTTTCCTTATTTATAAAATGGGATTAATAAGCTTTGCTTCACAAGGCTGTTAGGAGATTTGTCATATAACCTATCTAAGCAGCCAGTACAGTAACTGACACATGGTGTCATTATTTTCATGAGTGTGTATCATTCCTCCTAGTGCTGAGAAAGTTGCCTTTTTCTGAGGATGTGTGATTTCGGCTGCACTTGTAGAAGTGACAATGGGCAGGTCACAAAGTCCCACTGTGCTCCAAGCTGTTTTGAGCATTTTTCATTGTAACATTCAATTCCCCAAGCACGTGCTCTGGGCAGGTCACAGCCTCAGCTCAGGGGACATGGAGGGGACTAAGACAGGGACCCACTTTTGGAGAGGCCCTTCCTTGGTGAGGGGACGCTCTGACAGTGGGATTGGTGATCAAAGTCTCTCCTTCACCTTAGAGGGGCACTGCTGGGAAGGGGCAGTGGCCTCTACACCAGCCTGGCTGGACACCGATGCCCTCTGTCTGTCCCCTCCAGAGACACCTGAACGCCCTGTCTTTTCGCTGCTCGCTGGCAGACTTCCAGATTGAGAAGAAGATTGGCCGAGGGCAGTTCAGCGAGGTGTACAAGGCCACCTGCCTGCTGGACAGGAAGACGGTGGCTCTGAAGAAAGTGCAGGTGAACCAACGACCCCTTGGGGTCAAAAGCCACATCGCAGGAGCTGGCTTCTGGGTCTCAGTATTGTGGCCCCTGGGCCAGTCCCTCCATCCCTTCCCCTCCCTGCCCTTCCTCTATAAAGAGGGAATTAGTGCCGAACTCACTGGGCTATGGAGAGAGTCAGGTGGACTCCTGTCTTGAAAAGCTCACTGTGAGCCATAAAGGAAAAGAAGACTGAGCATGCACTGAGCACCTGCTGTATACAGGGTCCTGCTAGGAGCTCGTGGAATCATGTCAACAGCCCTTTGGGTGGGGATTAACATCCCATTTTTCAGATGAGGAAAACAGTGCAGAGCTGGGAATAGCTCGCCAGGCTCAAAGAGCAAGCTAAAGTCCCTCTGACCCTGGTGGCTGGACTTGGTTGGTTCTGGGCTTGAGTGCCCTTCCCGACCTTGTGTCCGTCCCTCCTAAAAGAGGGAAGTCCGGCCAGGAGGCATTTCAGCGAGAGAGCCGCTGGGCCCATTTGACGGCTGCTTTGCTGCAGGAAATGGGTTGTAAACCTCCAGCAGAGCTTCCCAATCCTTCCATTTGCTCATTTGTCCTTAAAGAATGAGATTAGCAGCCTGGGCAGAGGAGGCTCAGGCAACTCAGACACAGTCACGGGGTGGGGAGCTGGGCCAGGAACTCCAGCTATAAGACCTGGGCGTTGACTGTTTCCGTGTTGGTCTGTGACCTGCACGCAGCCCCAGGTCGCTGGAGGAGAGATGGGCTCCTGTTCAGAAAAGACTCATTTTCTGCGCTTTGTCTCTCAAGGAGGGGCTCACCTGGGCTCTCTTTGTCTTGGTTTATTTGTGCCATGACATGGTGGGTTTTGTGGTGGGGCTGCTGCCCTGTCGACCTTCTGTTTGTTCCTGTCAGTCAAAGGTGCTGGGAGGACACACCCTGAGTGAGCACGGAGGGGGGCTGGGGAGGGAGTGGGGGCGCGGGGAGACACGGCGCCAGGGCCTGGACCTCATCTTTTTTTTTTTTTTAAAGATTTTTTTAATTGGGGAATTGGGGGATGGGAACAGCGCCAGGGAATTGGGGGAAGGGGAACAGACAAGTTGCTGTCCTTTTGTTCTTCAGTCTAGTTGTGGAGGACATTGCCTCACGCACCCAAGTTGGCACCATCATTGCGCTCTTCCCGGGTGAGGCAGATCAATCGCTGGCTTCTGGACGGCCGCTCACTGCGGCTGCTGGCTACTCACGGTAGCCCATGGCAACCCACTGCCACAGGGGCTGTAGCCTATGCTGTCGCCGGTGACTCACGGCAGCCCAGCTCCAGGTTGAGCTGTTGTTCAGCATCTTAGCTGTGGAGGGCAGTGTCACTGGCCCTCATATGTGGGATCCGAACCGGGGCCCTCTGGCGTCTCAAGCCAGCTCTTGACCACCGCGCCCCTCGGCCGGCCCGGGACCTCATCTTTTCACTCCGTCCACGCGACCACCTTTTGAGCTCAGGCTAACAGCCCCACTTACAGAAGCAAAGACTGAGGCCCCAAGCATGTTTCCTGGCCTGCCACTTACCAGTGTGTGACCTCAGCAAGTCACTGGACTTCTCTGGGCCTCAGTCCCCTCCTCTGTGAGTCTGCGACAGTAACTCCTGCCCCATGGGAGTCACTGTGAGGCTTCGGCATAAAGTGGTCAGCATGGTGCCTGGCACGCGGTGGGGACCCACTAAGCAGAATTGTCGTCCTTATGGGGTGGGGGTGGGGTCCCTCTGCGAGGAAGTGTGTGAACCGGGATGCCGGTGCTGGGTGTTAACCATTCTATTTCTCTTTTTCCTCTCCTCCAAGATATTTGAGATGATGGACGCCAAGGCCAGGCAGGACTGCGTCAAGGAGATAGGCCTTCTAAAGGTGAGTGCCCTGAGAGGGATGCACCCCTGGGCATGGGCCCCGAGTCAGAGATAAGGGCATTCTGGAGTAGGCTTGGCCTTGGCCTGAGGCTGCTCTCTCCTGGGGATCCCTCTCTACTCCCCAGGCTTAGGATTCTGCCTGGGATCCCAGAGGTGACAGAGGAGGGAAAAGATAGGGGCTTTGGAAGCTAAGGAAGCTGGGTTCAAATCCTGATGTTTTTATTTACAAGCTGTATGGCATTAAGCAAGTGACTTAACCTCCCTAAGCCTCCGTTTGCCCATCTGCTCAATGGTGAGAACGCCTGCCTCACAGCATAGAGGCAGATTGAGAGGATTAAATAAAATAATATCTGAAGACGGCCTGGCACAGTAGAACGCACAATAGGTGCTCACTCAGTGTCCCCCTCCCTTCCAACGAAACAAGAGACCTTGCTTGGCAGCTTGTGGAGTGGGCTGCTGGTGGCAGTGACGCCCTTCAAAGCCAAAGCTGTGGAGTTTCAGATGAGCAGTTAATTCTGCCAGGCTCTGCTTTGGGCTCTCAGGCCTGTTTCCCTCCTTGGGGACTCCCAGGCAGGCTGCTGATGGTGACGATTCAGGATGACACTGGCCGACCCAGGGACCGTGGAGCCCAGCGGAAGCCCTGTGGAGGCCAAGGCCCAGTCCTGGAACCTGGAAGGCTGAGATGAGCCTGCAGCAGAAACCACGACAATGTGGATTGGGGGCGGGTAGATCATGGTGGCCTCGAATGCCACGCTCAGGATATGGGAATGAAAGGGGAATCCTTGAAGTGGCTGGGAGCAGGGTGAGGGGATGGGGCCAGATGTGAGCTTTGAGCCCTCGCTCAAGACAATGGGCCATGGCGACGAGGCTGGAGACGAAGAGGCTTATAGGGAGCTGTTCTTACCTTCAACTATTAAAGGTCAAAAATACCCTTCAAATAGCATTTTAAAATGTTACAGAATGGTCAACTTTGGGACCCAGTTGTGATTTGGGGACTCTGCCTGATTACCCAGCCCTGGGGAACGGCTGTCCCCATCACCCACCCCCTTTCCCTACGTGTGGCCAAGAACACACGTGTACTGTCCACATTGAGGAAGGAATCATACACGCGTGTGGATGAGCCAGCCTGTTTCTGGTCTCTGGGTGCAGAAATGTGTGCCCACAGTCCCTTCAGTGAAGCAGGCCTGGGGTGTGGTGTGAACTGGATGGTTTGGGAGGGGGATGTCTCTTTCCCAGGCTGTGGATGCAGCTGAGTGCCAACAGCCATGGGCTTCGGAGGCGGGTACACCCTCACTCACTAGTCGTGTGGCTGTGGGCAAGCTGTTGACCATTCAGGACCTCAGTTTCCTCATCTGTACAGGGGGTGATAACAGCACTGTCTTCAGAGGTATCGGGGACATTAGTGAGGAGCTCAGCGTAGCACCGGATGTGTGCTAAGTGCTGGCTCAGAGGCAGCCCTTGTTATGATCGGGCAACGCCAACCCCTTTCCAGAACGCCAATCCAGCTTCCCGGCCTGCCCATGGGAAGTCAACAGGATGTGCCAGGGCAGGAGGTGTTTCCTACAAAACAAAGGGAAACGTGGTCCTCAGAGGGGACCCTGGGCAACATCATTCATATTGTTCACGCCAGGACCCGGACCCTCCCAGGGCAGAGGCTGGCAGACGTGGGGCGGGAAGGCGGGCTCTGTTGGAACACAGGCACAGAGTCATGTATTCATATATTCATATTCAACACAACTTTTTGAGTACCACTAAGGGATGCAGCCCAGCCGGAAAGACAGATCCTAGACAGACAGACTCGTTCTGTATCGTGGACCGGAGGGGCCACGGGTGCAGAAGTTCAAAGAAGAGGGGACCTTACATTGATGGGCCCTTTATTCTCAGCCCTCTGTCCGTCCCTCTGGCCACCATCCATCCCTCAGCAGACACCACGACAGCCAGGCCTGGCCCAGTGCCTCGGGGACAACCCCACCCGTGGAGCTCAAAGCCTGGCAGAAAAGAGGGCCGTTTGTCAGATCTTTGTGCTGTAGCCTCAGGGAAAGGGTGGGCAGTAGAGTATAGGGACCCAAGAGAGTGAGAGGTGGGCCGAGACTGCCAGGAGGAGCTGCCCTGGAGATGAATCTTGGGTGCGACTCTGTCCTGAACCCCAGGTGCATGAAGCCAGAGTGGGGAGCCCTTTGCCTCCCGCAGCTGCCACACTCACAAACCACTGCTGGACAAAACCCAAGCACTCCCATCTTTGGAGCACTTTCTGCATCCCTGGCCCAAGTGTGTCCCTTTCAGACGCAGCTGGGCTCACCAAGAGGCCACAGACTGACGTGAACTCCGGATGGACAAGGGCTCTGTGCTCACTGGACCAAGTTCTCGGCTCAGCTTGGGCCCCGGCCAGTCCCTTCCCTCTCTAGGCCTCAGAGATTTCGCCCCGTTACCTCTGGGGCCCCTTTTTGCCCCAGCCTGTGCCTTTGTAGGCTGACTGGGTGTTTGAGGGAGCACTTACTTTCCTTCCCGGCCTCAGACCTGCCACAGGAGTGGGAAGAGGGCTTCCTACCTCCTCTCCCCAGGAGCCTACACCTTAGGAAACAGCCCCCTCGACTGAAATTTTAGTTCCCACCCAAGCCCCCCTCTGACTTTTCCAAGCCGTTGGAAAGACCGTGAGGCCCAGACCTCTGATGACCTGGGTGGGTTTTGGGGAGCCCTCCCTGAGAGAAGCGATATTTCCCGGTGAAAGAATGAAGTGAGGTCCGGAGGGGTGGGGATGAAAGAACGGGTTTCTCATTTACAGTAATAGCAACAACATCAGGACTTTATAACATGCGTTAGAGATTTTAAAGCATTTTCAACTTTCCATTCACTTACTATGGTACTTTTTGTGTAAATGAAAGCATATCTATAGAATATGATGTGTGCTGAGGGCAGCTGATGTGCTGCCCAGTGTGAGGTCGGGGAGACCTCAAAACCAAAACTGGGTAAGGTGGTTTTTCTGACAAAGGCACCAAAAAAATTTAGTGGACAAAGGAAAGCCTTTCAATCCAGGGTGCTGGGAAAACTGGACATCCAAATGGACGGAAGTGACCCTACCTCACACCATACACCAAAATTAACTTGAAATGGATTATAGACCTAAACGTAAAAACTAAAACTATAATTTAATGTTTGCGGGGCATCCCAGCCCTGTGAAGTGGGCCAGTGCTAGCTAAAGGGGGTGGGGGTGGGAGTGAGGGACCTGATGACTAGGACAGGCAGCAGGCACCAGGGCGGAGTGCAGCCAGTCTCTGGGGTGAACTGGTGGGTGTTGAGGAAGGGACAGACGTGGGGGAGGAACCGAGGCCCATAGCAGAGGCCTCCTGTGGCCCCTGGGGGCCTATTGAGAGGTACCCCCCTCCATGGAGGGCTGGTTTGGGAAATCAGTTGGGGGATGGCTTGACTGTGTGATGTCTGCCAAAGTCCCCCTCGTTTTAGAACCCAAGGACGGGCACAGGTCGGCATGCAGCACAGGCGCAGGCTCTCTCCCAGCCATGTCCAGGCCTTTGATTTAGAAATTGTTCTCTAAATTGGGCCCTGGTCATTGGCTGACAGGAGCCCCTGTGGCTGGGCTGACCATACTACAGCAGAATATTGGGGTCCCCTCTATTTTTCCAGATCCTGGAATCATTTTGGTGTCAATAGTCCATTTCCGTTATAAACAGTTAGCTGGGCGGGAGTGACTTCCAGCCAGTGGGGTACTGTCCTGCCCGGGGTCCATACACAATCTCAGCAGATGCACAGTCACAGTGGTCAGGCCAGAGGTCTCAGCACTGGGCAGATCACTCAGGGCAGCTCCCACATCAGAAATGGGGTTTCCCCCACCCCCAAGATTTTACTAGGGGTTGGTCAGAAATTGACAAAAAGCGGGAAGGAAGAAGGAAGGAGACAGATACTTCTGAGTACCAGCTGCAGGCCTGCTGAGCACAGCGACGGAGGGGAGGGGGCCTGGCCCTACCCTGGAGGGTCACGGGGGTGGTGATGAGGAGGAGGAGGAAGAGAAGGGCCATTTCTACAAGCATCTATTGCGTTAGCTCTGTGCAGTCACTGTGTTGGACATAACCGAGGGTATTATTCCATCTAATCTTCACAATACCTCAAAGCATTATGCCCATTTTACAGATGAGGAAACTGAGACTCAGGGATGCAAAATGGCTTTCCCAATGTCACCCAGGTCTGCCTGACTCCCAAGCACAGGACTTTCCCCCAAGACACTCAGCTCTCCAGCAAATGCGAGGGCCCTGTTAGTGGGTGCCAGCTGGGTGCTGGCACGGGGTAGGTGTTGGGGTTGTACCACCTCTCATTGGCTTTGCCTCCCCCCTTCTCTCCTTGGGCAGCAACTGAACCATCCGAACATCATCAAGTATTTGGACTCTTTTATTGAGGACAATGAGCTGAACATAGTGCTGGAGCTGGCTGACGCTGGTGACCTGTCGCAGATGATCAAGGTGAGGGTGCCTGGCATATGGACGGGGTCTGGGGTCTGCCCAGACACAGTGGCCCCTCCTCAGCTCGAGTTCCTCACTGCGCTGGCCTCAGACAGAGGCGGCCTCTTGGGGACACTCAGCACCCCTTGCTGATGCCCACAGGCCTCAGCTGTGGCCCCCGTGAATGACCTTTTGAGCCCCATCCATATTTGCTGGGAGAGGGTCATCGATAGACAGAAAGCACCCCTCTGGCTGCCCCCAATGTCCCTCCTAGCCTGCCCATGGGCTCATGGGCCACTTCTCCTGCGTCTCAGAAGGAGCGGGCATAGAACCCTGTATTAGGTCAGAACCCAGCTCACAGAATATGGGAAATTGTCTGAGGGTCAAATTGCCCCATTTTACAGAAGGGAAAACTGAGTCCAGAGAGGTTGAGTCTTGCCTGAGAATAGCCAGCAACTTGGGGTCAGAGCCAAGCCTGTGGCCCAGGTCTCTGTTTCTCGACCTGGGACCCTCCAGTGGACATTGTCCCCAAGTTGATTTCCCTGAGGTCCCCCCAGCCCTTGAGGGATGTCTTCATTCCCATGTAATGGCCAAGGCCAGGGGTCTCCGAGAGGTTGATTGACTTGCCAGTCCCACGGGCAGGCTCAGCACTAGGCCTGGCTCTTACTCTGCATCCCGCGGCAGCCCCCACACTACTCCGCCCCCTCACCCCACCTCCTAGGGCCCGGGACCAGGCCCACCATAAGTCTGGACTCAGGGACCATCACAGCCCCACTGATGGAGCACCTACTGTGGGCCATAACCATGCTGAGCACATGCATCACTCACAGTCCACACTCTCCTCACATAGCAAAGCTCAGAGAGATTTAGTCACCTACCTGAGGCAGCACAGCCTCTAAGTGGGACCCTCAGGCCCAAGACCGCCCCGCTCCCTGCTTTTCCCTCAAGGCCCTCACTGCCCTGCTGACTTAACCCACCTCCGCAGGCCGTTATTGTGGGTCCTCGTTGCCTCCCTCCCCCAGGCCCGGTCTGTCAGCTCCTGAGTGAGCCTGGGCCACTGGAGCCCGGCTCCCAGCCATCCTTGCAAACGGAGCCAGACGTGGACTCTCTGTCTTTCCCACCAGGCACTGGGGATTGAGATATTGCTTGGTGCTTGCTCTTCTGAAATTTGGCTCTTAGGAACACGGGTGTCGCTGGGAAGCAGCATTATTTGAGCTGTTATCACCTGCTTTTATATTTTCGTTGACATATTAATGCGTTTGCAGGGATGTTAATCTGCACACAGATCCCTGATGGGGACAGACGTGCTATATCATGTCTTAGTTTTCCCTTCTCCCCCCACCCCCACACTCTGTTTCTCCTTCACATGTCACTCTCTCACCAAACACACATGCACCCAGCACCCACTGTGTCCCAACCCCTAGGGGTGCTGCCAGCATGATCTCCCTAAGGGGAGGGCAGACCCGTGAATCATCATGTAGGAGCCCGCGAGAATAAGCCACGTTCAGGGCCCGTGGAGCCAGGAAAGGCTTCCTGGAGGAAGTGACACCTGAGGGGAGACCCAAAGTCTAGTGGCCCAGTGGGATGAAAAACCAGGGGTCCACAAAGCACTTTGGTCCAGGAGAGCACTGGATGAGATGGGGGTAGGGGCCGGGAAAGAGGGAGGCAGTCAGACGACCCAGGACCTTGTGGTCCAGGCTCAGGATTCAGGACCTCACCCTGAGGTCAGCGAGAAGCTTTCTAAGACTGGTGCTGGGGAGTAAACATGGTCTGTTTTGTGCCCAATGGAGGGATGGGTGGGGTGGGGAGGGGAGAACAGGAGGAAGAGCAGAGATGACAGAGGAGACCCTGGAATGTGGCCCACAGTGAGGGCACAGGGTGGGCACGGTACCTTCATCCCCAGGAGACCCCAGACCCCTCAGCCCCTCAGTCCGTGGACTGGGGCTGGATTGACAGTCGGGGGCAGGGATGTCTGAGCAAATTAAGTCTCTCCCTTCCCTGAACCTCAGTTTCTACCCCTGTCCCGAGAGATACGTGAGGAGGGCACTGTGGGAACTGCAGGGCCTGGGAGGGCTGCTGACCAGCAGGCCCTGCGTCTCAAGGGCCCCCAAACCCAGGGGCCAAGCAACACCACCATGGCCATGGTGCTGGTGTTATTTATGGCGGATGGTGAAGCCAGGAGCTGCCGCCACCCCGAAACCCACCAGAGACTGAGCGCCTTCCTGATAAATGTCACACGGCGCTTGTAGGACGTGACATTTAGAAAATCACCACTTGCAGCCGTGCGCATCCCACTTAAATGCTGTAATGAGGATTATCTAACATCACGGTGTAAATAACATTCCAGCCAGGCCCAACTCACAAGCCTGGGGTGGCCTAGGGGAGCGGGGATCCTGTGCTGGGGGGTCTGTGCTAGGAGCCCGGAGTAGCTCACCCATGAGGCCCCTCTCTCAGAATGGAGCCTCAGGAGAGCCTCGCAGGGCCTTAGTGCCAGGCCAGGGGGCTCCCAGGTGTGACTGCCCACTGTTGGAAGTGCCCAGATCCAATCTCAGACCTTGGGCAAGTGCCTGAACCTCTCTCTCAGCTCACTCAGGTGGTTACTGGTGCCATTAGAAGTGGGTGAAGAGCTTGGGCTTTCCAGGCGGAAGGCCTGGGGTTGAGCTGTGATTCTGCCCCTTACTAGCTATGGTGTGGCCCTCAGTTTCCCTGGCTGCGAGATGGGTGCAGACATCCCTGCTTAGGGCCCAGCACAGGGTCTACACAAGGCAGGTGCTCAGCGAACGTTCGCTCAGGTCCTGCCTTCCACCCCATGCCGCCTTTCCCCAGGCCGGGAGTGCATCCTGAGTCAGCCCCCTTCTTCCCTGTGCAAGAGCAGCTGCCCTGATGGAGGGTCCCACGGCATCACCTCGGGCTGCTTTGAGGAAAGATAGTTGGTCTGGAGCAAAAGCCCCTGAGCAAAAACCTGGTCCTCAAGTTACTGGTGTGAGTCACCACTCCCCACCCCGGCTCACAGGAGACGCCCCTGGGGTAGGATGGGGTGGGGATGACATGCTGATCTGAACCATGGACGGGACGTGCTCCTGCTTTGCTCGCTCCAGGACCTTTGACTCACTCAGTGCAGCCTGGGTGGTTTTTGGTTGTTTTGTTTTGGTTTCTGGAGCATTAAATACAGCTTTTCAGTCAATAAAGTAGATGGGGGTCCATTTGAGAATGTCAAGCCCATTTCTTTGAGGTTCTTACCGCATTTGTGAACCATCACGTGGGCTGAGATTTGCCAGCCCTGAGGAGTGGGGGAAGCTGTTTTAACCTCCAAGCACATCTTGGGTGCTCCCATCGTGGGCCAGGCCGGGGCTGGGGGCAGAGACGTCATGCCAGCCCCCTCCCACAAGGAGCTCCCCATCAGGCAAGGGGAGGACACGGGCGCGTGTCCAGGAGATTCCAGAAAAAGTGCGAGTGAGAGCAGCCTGCAAGATGCAGACCGGGCATCCATTCAGCAGAGCCGTCCAGGCCATCACTCTGGGCCAGGCCTGTCCCCAGCCCCACCCTCAGGAGCTGGCCACCCTGTGGGGGTGGACAGAGGACCACGGAGGGCAACCTGGGCTGAAGCCGAGATGTGAACACGGCGCCCTTGGTTCCACATTTATCATTTGTTCAGCAGCCTGACCACCCACACTGGGCCAGGCTCCAGCAGCCCGCTGGGGCCCGTGTGGAGCAGAACCCTGCAGCTGCCCTCCCTCTGGGCCCGTCACCTATGCCTGTCTGTCTGTCTGTCTCCCCCACCACAGTACTTCAAGAAGCAGAAGCGGCTCATCCCCGAGAGGACAGTGTGGAAGTACTTCGTGCAGCTTTGCAGCGCCGTGGAGCACATGCACTCCCGCCGGGTGATGCACCGAGGTGTGTGTGTGCCGGCCCCTCCCAGGGCTGCGGGGCCAGCACCAGCAGGAGGCTGGGTGCCCCTGGGGCTGCAGGACGCAGCGTTCCCCTCCGCTCCTCCTGGCCCCTCGGGACATTCCTAAGGAAGGTGGACCATTCCCAGACAAGTGGGTGTCGAGCATCGTGCCTGTCCGTAGCGGGGTCAGAGAATGGGCGTGGCAAGACCCTGGGCTTGGTGCACACACATGCCTCATGCCCAGTGCCTCCCCATGGTGGGAGCACCCAACGCCAGATAGCTAGTTACATGGACCCCAGGCAACACGGGCCACGCTCAGTACATCACCTCCAGTCCCAACGCCACCATGGGGCCAGGGTAGAGAGGGTTGCAGCAAGGATGGGTGGTGGGGTTGGCCGGTTTCGGTACTGCTGCTAGCTCTGCTGCCTGGAATGGCAGGGAACTTTTAATATGGGCTTTGAAATCTTAGTAGGAGATGGCTGGGCCAAGGGAATGGGACACCTACGAAGGAATATTTCTGAAAGTTGACGTCATCCTGAGTTGTGAGGAAGAAGGAAGGGTGTTGGGTGCCTTCCTAGGTTACTTCACTTATTCCTTCCTTCATTCATTCCACCTGTATTTACCAGTATCCGCTGTGTGGGAGGCACTGGTCTCGTCACTGGGGAACAGTGCAGGTTACCACACTGAGTGCTTCCTTCACTTGTTTGCTACACAAATTCTCAGAGTGAGTGAGCATGAGAGGGAGCACAGCAGGGCCCCCCATCACCTGAAGGGCCCCCACTCTGCCCAACCCCAGACTCCTTTCTCCCTTCTGTAGCACTGATCCCACACCAACCCTTACCTCCTTCCCCTGCAGACATCAAGCCTGCCAACGTGTTCATCACAGCCACGGGTGTCGTCAAGCTCGGCGACCTTGGCCTGGGCCGCTTCTTCAGCTCCGAGACCACTGCAGCCCACTCCCTAGGTAAGGGGGCCTGTCTGTACCCCAACAGACCCCAGTCCTTAGGGGGAGATGTGGACATTGTCCCCTCGGTGCCTTTGGTTAGTTAGTGCAGGAAAACACCTTTCTAAACCCCAGGTTTCACTGACCCCTTTAGAATGGTGACCCAGAGGAAGTAAGCCAAGCCTCGAGGGGCCCTGGCTGTGGCCTCCCCACACCCCTTCCAGGAAAGGATGACTGAGCCCACTCCGCAGAGTCGGGGATGTGGCTCTGTCGTTGCATGCCGGAGTCCTTCCGCCTTGCTAATTGCTGCATAGTATTCCGTCACATGGGTGCGCCACACTTGGTCTGTTCTTCCTGCTGGGGAACATTTGAGCTATTTCCACTTTTGGGCTTTTAAACAGCCAGTTTTGAAGCTGTAAGGGCCGAGTGCTCACCCAGGAGGAGGCAGCATGACAGCCGGACCGAGGCGGGTGTAATGGAGTTGGTAGGGCAGTGAGGGGGAATGCGGTGAGCTGGAGAGCGGGTCCCCAGGGCCTCAGGTGGCAAGGAAGGCAGTTGGGCCTTGAATGCCGGGCTCAGTGGGTGGGCACCATCCCAGGCAGTGTTAAGAACTGGGCTTGGGAAGAGAGAGGCTGGATGTGTGTTTTGGGTCACGTGAAGCGGTGGCAAGCTTCAGAACCCATATGCTGGCTGGGTAACTGAATGCAAAACTTGGAACGATGGGCCATGGAGAATTTTGAATTTAGCTGGAATAGAGAAGCCAGCAAAGCCCCCCGCCCCCCTCCCACCAGTTGGACGTGGACAGAGGATCCCATGTGCATTACAGCGCGTATCAGCATTTAACCAGGGCCGTCTGGGAATGTTTCAGAGGCGGGCCAGGGCCATCTTCCTTTCCAGAAGCCAGTCTCCGGCTCTTTAGGGTGGCGTCTGCAGAGAAAGGTGCTCCTAGGCCCCCCTCCCTGTGCACCGTGAACTCCTCCATTGAAAACTGCTCTGTTCTCCATTAGTCTCCACCCCACTCCCCAGTCCCAGCCCGTGTCTCCCATCCTCTGACCCCAAGTGCCTGCGGCATGCTGTGAGTACACCGTGCGCTGACGGTGGAGGTGCTTTCTGGAAGAAACACTTTCCTGGTGGAAACTGTCACTCTTCATACAGGTCTCCATGGCTTAGAGGCTCTCAGGATACAGCACACCATCAGGAGAAATGTGCTAACTCTCAAGATCAACAGCTCCGAGCTGCTTACAGGAGTGTGTGCATGTGTTGTGTGTGAATGTGCGTGTGTGTGCATTTGTGTGAGTGTGCGTGTGTGCTGTCATGAGTGTGTGGAGTGTGAGTGTGCATGCGTGCATGTGTGAGTGTGCATGTGTGTGTGTGGAAGGAGTTACTTTGAAAATTCTCCTCCCCATCTGACCTTGGAGGACAGTGGGCACATAGTTGATCTTTTGTTAGTTCACAAGGAAAGGCTGTGCAAGGACTGGCCATCCCATGAGTTTATGACACTGTTCACACCTCAGAGAGCCATGAGGGTTTACAGGATCCTTCCCTGGTGCATAGGACAAATCTGAAATCCAGGGAGCTTGAGTGTCATTTCTTCTCAGTTAAGTAGTGGCAGAGCCAGGACTCAAATGCAGGCTTCTCCCAGCACAGCCCACATTTCCCCCAGAAGATCAGAGTCGGGGCCCTTGGAAGATAATGCTGGACCTCCTCCCGGAGCCCAGCCACCAACTCCTGCTTCTGGGAGGACACCTTGCCTTTCCCAAACCCTTCTCTTTGTGAAAATCAGTGTGTCAATTTGGGACTATTTACTTCTGTGGTTTAAGAGCTTCAAAAAGGCCAAAAACTCAAGAGAAACCGTCAAAGGGAAGAGTTAAAGCCACTGCCTCCTGTCCCCTGTCAGTCAGGTCGCAGCCCTTCTCGGTCCCGCCTGGGAGAAGACTGCGGCACTCGTCAGAGCCGGTTAAGATCACATCATTACGAACGGGCAGGAATACGGGCTCATCCGACAGCGTCAGTTTATTGACTTGGACTGCTGCACTTATTATATTAATGAGAAGGAGCTGGAACTTGGGAAAGGCCGCCTGCGGAAGCTGGGCTCTTCCCAAGGCCTCCAAGCAGCTGACCCGGCCCCCTGGGGCCATGTGCCCGAGTCCAGGACATGCTCCCGGAACCGAGGACCAGGCTCCAAGATGGTGACAGCACAGAGCCAGAGCCCAGGGCCTGACATCTCCAAGAGGCAAGAGAAAGACCCTCTTTCCACAGCGAGGTTCTGCAAACAGCTGACCAAGTCTTGCACACACGTTTGGTGCGGCAAGAGAGTGAAGTAGTTGCCATTGCATCGTGACTCAGGAAGAGTGCCGGGGGTGCATGGGTATGAATTATGCATCCGCCCCATCTGTGTGCACCTACTATGTGGGGGTGCTGTGGTGGCAGCCACGTTGCCCCGGCAACCACTTCCTTTCCTGGGCTGCTGACCCACGGCTGGACTTATGCAAATCCCATCTCCCCCTGCCTCACCCTGCCTCTGTATTTGCTAACATGGGGCTGGCATGAAAGGGCATTAGTCATGCCATGGCCAGGCTGACAGGTGCGGTACCCAGCAGTGGCAGAGCGGCTGCCTCGGTGTCAGGAATAGGAGCCGTAATTAGAGCGAGGAACAGAATGAGCGTCAGACGAATTACCAGGCAGCAGATCATATTTGTCAGGAAGGATTGCATACATAAAAATTAAGTGACAGTACACGCCGGCATAATGAAAGAAAAATGAAAGATTTGCCTATACACAGCTCACAAGCTACAAGCAAGTGTCTCGCTCCAAGCAACGGCAGCAGCTGCAAGACAAATTGTGGGGCTGGGAGAGCAGGCCCTGCTCTCTCAGCAGTGGTGACAGGGCGGCCTCGGGCTGAGATCAGGGGTGGCAGGTGAGGCCAGCTCACACCCAGGACTGTGCAGGACCTCACACCACCTCTTGGGGCTGGGCAGACAGGTCTGGCTGGGGGTGACCTCCATCAGATACAGCGGTCAGGGCATGCTGGCTTTCCTAAGCCGCCAACCACTGGCCTGGTGACAGAGCATAAATTCCTTCCTCCTCCCTTCCTTGGTCTGGGTGCAGGGGACATAAGATTAGGCAGCCTTCCCTGATTTCAGGGTGCCCCCAGACCTGTGAGGGGACAGACACAGTCAGTCCCAGGGTGGCATGGTATGGGACTGGTAGAACCCTCTCCTGAGGGCCCACTGTGTGCAAGCACAGTGCTGGGCTCTGTGACAAAACTGCACTGAGGAGCCCAGTGCCCCTGGGGCCCTAGGGCCACCTCAGCCCCTCCCAGGGTTGCTGTTTACTTCAGTTTTCTGCAGTCATTGAACTCACCAGAGAGGTGAGTTAACAAAGAAGACAAGGCTTAAAAGATGTTTGGAAAACTTTTTGCTTTTTAAAAAATTATCCCACCAAGCCTTACTATCTCCATTTGACAGATGAGGAAACTGAGGCTCCGAGAAGGGAGACCACATTCCTGTAGTCGCCTGGCGAGTGGGCACTGGAGTCCTCGGGGTGTCAGTTCCTCTCCAGGCACAAGCCCGCAGCATTCTGGGAAGTGGGCTTGGGTCCTGACGAGCGCCCTGGGTGCAGGAACTCCCAGAGCACCGAGTGCCTGAACACTGGGGGTGGGAGGAGCCCATCCAACCTCACAGCCGTGGGCCAAGTGGGCCCTGGGGCTTGTCCTGGGCCATGGAGAAGGAGGATGGGGCTTCCTTTTCTTGTCGAGTGCCAGCATGAGCGTGCCCATGCCTGGCACCAGGTGGGCCCCATGGACCCTTTGCCAAGTGGGTAGATGGTCCTCAGAGCCAAGCATCCCTGGGAACCCTACCAGTGTGGTCACAAAGAGATGCATCCGTGGGCCTCCTCCTATCCATCCCAGCAGCCCAGGACACCTGGGAACAACTGGCCCAGAAAACCTGCTTCAGCAGGTAGATTGAGGTTCTGAGTGTTGACATCTGAGTAGAAGGTCCTGAGAGGTCACACCTGGCTGCCTTGTCTGCCACATTCCCGGCATTTCCAGAGGCACAAACTTAGAACCTAAGACAAGCTGGTGCCAGAGAAGGAAGGGGCGGGTCTCCAGGGGACTGCAAATGAGGACTCCATCAGGCCTAGGATACAACTTACAGCTTGCCCACTTGTTCATGCATTCACTCAGGAAGGCTTTGTGTCAGGCCCTGGGGCTGCTCGCCGGGAAGGCCCCTGGCCTCTGGAACTTACGGCCTGGAGGGAAAATCCATGTAGAGTTTTCACCAGGAACGGAGCCCTGTTCCAATAATCACCTCCCCGGTATGACCTGGGTTGGCGCTCTAGCCACCTGGGGGCGGCAGGCATCGCAGAGCAGGTTGTCAGAGGAGGAAGCCCAGGGCAGTGAGGTGAGCACCTTTGTGCTGCCCACGGGGTGGTGGGGGAGGGTGGGCGTGATGCCAAGGTGTGGCCATAGACCAGTTTTCCATCCGAGACGCCCTGCACCACCTTGGATGAGACCCCTACACCTGGAAACAGGGTGCTGTGTGGAGTTGAAGAATCGAGCCACCTGATTGTCACATTTGTTACAGCTACTCGCTCGTGTGGGAATTAGAAATAGGCAGATATTTTTTGTAGGCATGTAAACAATCTGAAATTAAGTGAACGCTGATAAAAGTACAATGTTTTCCCAACCTCGCTGCTTCTCCTGAGGACCGAGTGTAGCTCAGCATGGGGTCAGCTGGTAATTCATTTAAGCGGTGGGGATGGGCAGGACAGGAAAGGCCAGATGGGGCTGCTGCGGCAGTGGACTGGGGGACAGAGGAGAGGGGACTCCCTCAGGATGTGGGGCTGGCTGGGTGTTGGGGCTGGGGAGGGAGGGAGTGTCGCAGGGAGTGTCGCAGGACTGGGTTATGTAGAGAAGAAAGTGCCGGTCACACTGCCCCACGCTCAGGGAGCTCGTCTGTGGGTTCCAGAGCCTCCTTGCTGCTTCCGGTGCTCTCCGCCACCCTCAGCCCTCCTTCCCT